ACTTGGAATCTGGTATGCACTTCTTATTACACCAGAAAAAAAGAAAGCAAAAATTTATACAGACAGTACTTTAGCGAAAGAAGATTGCATATATATCAAGAACAAGAAGAACTAAATTATCCATCAAATCTACTAGTGTTAGATATTTGAGATCTTCACAGAGGCCAAATTTTTTTTTAATAGTATCCGAAACTTGAAGCCAACTATGGCGAATTACTTCAAGTAACAAGTTAATTCGCCAAGGCTGAACATTAATTCCAATTCCTTTTGTTTTATTAAACAGGTAATTGTATAACAAAGAAAAAAATAGATGATATTGTATATAAATAAGCTTGTGACTATTCAAGGAAATGTGTAATGGGCCTATAATTGGAATAAAAGATAAAATACTTGGAGGTATATTAGAATTGTAATCATATTTTAAAAATTTTAAAATCGCAGTTCTTACGAAAATTTGACCAGGCCAATCTGCAACAAGAGGAATAATAAAACTCGAATCAAAGTATTTTTTTATTGCATTCATATTTTGAATAATTTCAAGACTTTCCAAATACTCAGTAACCGAATGCAAATTATTTTTTACAAGGTCGACAAGCACAATATCAATTAATAATCGATCATTGATCCTCTCCTTAAGGTGGAGATCATAACTGTGCACTGTCAACGCTTCCATAGTTTCATCTTCGGTATTACTTACCTGATTTTTCCATAGCTTATTGAAGGATATTCCTAACGATATCATGAACCGATTTTCCAATTCTATTTTTATAAGATCCACATCCACAAGCTTTGGACTGTGAATGCTTTCATAATCACAATTCATAGAAATTGGCAACACATTTCTTATTGGATTTAATAGAATTGTTGCTATATTTACCACCGCTGATATTTCATCATCTTTTGGAACCCTATTAGTATGTATATTGTGATAATCGTCCATATTTAAAATCATAGCACTTTCATGAAAAGTATTTAAATCATCATTAATTAAAGCTAGGTGGTCCTTCAAAATTTTATTTTTCTTACGCCAAACTATTTGAGATGTTGATGTAATGCCAAGTTCCGCCAGTGCATTGATAGTTGCATCTGTTGTATCTGTAGAATCAAGATAAAGTGCTAAATCACGTTTTAAATTTATAATAAATTTGTTACGTAAACCACAAAGTAAATAACAAACAAAAAGTAATTGGGACATTATCTTGGGACGTGACTTGAGCTTTTTTTTCAATAGATTGGTCGAAGATACAAGTTTATCAAAAAAAGCTGTCAGATGTATATTCTCTGCCTCCATGTAAGCACAAAATTCTCCAAATTTTTGAAATACAGACAATTTCTGTGTTACTTCACGTTTATATAAAATCTCAATCATGATTTCTATTGCTTTTGAAAAAGACATCTCCCCAGATTTCACTAAATCAGCACTAGATCAAACACTATAAGTCGCTTTTGCATGCTCTTTCATCACAACTGAAGGGTGAACAATGATTCCATTATAACACCGTTAACAAACTATATCATCAACTTTCAAATATGCTAGTAAGGTTTGATTGTCTTGAACACTTCCCAAGATCCAGTCTGTAACCTTTCTCATACGTTGTCTAGGAGCTTTAGCACACACACTAATTACGCATTGCTGATTCTCCATTACTGTAAGTTGCTTCTAAGTAAAGTATACTTTGTTGTGTGGATCTTTTTGGATTATTTTGCAGGAAGCTTGTTGTAAGTATTCTAAACAGTTTTAAACCATTTTTTGGTAACTGTATACTAGTAAATTTTTTCAAATCGAAAAAGTACTTTAAACTGTATAAATTCAATTGAATAAAATTGACCAATCAGAAGAAAGTTAGCCTATAAGAGCTAAGCTGAGCCACAAGCCACTATCCTATATAAGCAAACTATCCAATTAGACACGAACACGAATTCTAATATTTAAATTTGAAAATTAGTATTCGAAGGCTTCTTTTTGTTTCTTAACATTATAGCTGTACTCATAAATTTTAGAATAAATGAACTACTAGTTATAATCATTTTCATTTAAATATTGTATAAAAAATAGTGTTAAACTAGCATAATTATTTATAAGGCAAAGAAGTTTCAACAGAGTAGCTCTTTAGAACTGAACGAACATCTTCTATATTAGTAAACATCATGCCAATTTATAGTGTATTACTTGACATCATAGTGGTTTGTTATAACAATAAGTAATTTTATACAAAGAAAATGAAATCTATTAATTTTTAAAAAAAATTTCTTTTCTTTCTAATTTACAATCAATAGCTATATTTTTTATACACTTAATGACTACATTTTTTAATGCTTATATTGCTTATACTAATAATGATCAAGCCACAGGCTTGAATAACATCACAGTTATTTTGGGTCCTTATACGTATGTTCATCATTACTATTGGATTATGGTCATGTGATACAAATTAATTGGTTCTCGGCTTTATATCAGCTTTAAGGGTCTAGAGCTGAGCCGTTTTAGAGCTGATACCTTATTAGTAAACCTAGAGCCAAGCTATTAATCAGCTCAGCTTAGCCATTTGGCTTTTGGCTTGACTCAAGCTATTTGCATCATTAGATACATACTAGCTATACATACAACTTTTAATTGTCTATTTAAGTAGTCCACTTATTACTAAATTTTACACTAGATGCTATATCTATAACCCAAATAGAGGTTACTTATTTAAATCCTCAATATCTTTATGTGGGTCAACCCTCAATCAGTAAACTTTTTATCCTCGAAGTAAACTTGCTAAAGCTTTTTATACCCACAATCTGATTAGTCTAGACTTCAGTAACTTACGCTAAGTCTGTAGACAAATACTTGTGAGCCGAAGCTACTACCGTTAGGGGAGCATCATTTATTAGCTAATTTTTTAGAGGAGTAGAGGGTAGAGCAATTATCAGGTCTTATATATAATATAATATATATAATATATATATAATTTTTTTTCCACTATTGGCAGCCTTGCCGGTATCTTTATTAGATCAAAGCATATATATATATACATATAATCAACTATCTAAGTTATAGATCTGACATTTTTTGGCTGCCCCGAAGGGTGTTCAAGAGCAGTTTGCCATACTGGATAAGGCTTTTGCCCACATTGGAGGGCTATACCAAGCTAGCCATTGAAACCATATCAGAATGGCTTTACTCTATTTTCATAAAAATTTTTAACTGATGATAACCAAGATCTTTTCTTTTTTTGTTTTTTCTCCTCTTTAATATTTCTTGTTTTTTTTTTTAACCTTTCCCCTCGTTTGGTCTTGGTTCGAATTAAACTTCCCTAAAGATTCTTGTATCTGTTCTGTACTGAGTTTTGGTTCTTCTGTTTCTGGTTTCTTCTTCTTCTTCAGTTTCATAGTGATTCCTTCCTTCTTCTCCCATTCATTAACTGCAAAGCATCTTCGTTTCTATATATTTTTATAGAAGAAATTCCACGCCAGATTTACCGCAGATTTCAGAAAATTCTTCACTTTCTTCAGATGTTTTATGGTGTCGAGAATCTTTCTGAAAGTCTTCTCTTGAATTAAGCCTTTGAGGATACCACTTCTTGTTCTGTTCTTTTTTTCTTTTGATATCCTCCAGAAACAAGTCTTAAGACTTTTTTTGTTGAGTTGATTTCTTGCCTTTCCAAAAAGATTCGCCCAGGCTAGATTTGTTATGACTTGTTCAGTTTCCTCCCATTTTTCTTTATATTTCTCGTATTTGACCAAATAATCCTAGTTTTCCTCTTTATTTTTTCCGCACATTATACAGAGAGAATTTTCATATAGATTCGGTCTTCTGCTGTTTAGAGTCTTGAGAACTAGCAGTTTTTCATGAAGACATTTGACCAAAACACTGAAGCGCTTGTTTTTCTTTGGGCTCGTATATTTAATTCTAGATTGGCTTTTAATTTTTCTCTAAAAAATGGGCCAATGATATATATTTGCTGTGTTTTCTGGTTCTTCTTTCTGTATTGCTGATGTTGATCTCCAATCTATATCTATTTGAAAGTCAAGGATTGTCTGTACGAATTGTCTAGTAGAACCTTCTATTAGTAATCCTTCTCAGCACAAAGAAGCATTTGATTCTTGAAGGGTTTCTCTATAATATTATCTCTATTTTCTATTTTGGTTCTCTGCTTTGCTAATTTATCTGCTAAATTATTCTACCTATTTTCGCTATGGCCTCTAACTTTTACTAATTCTAATTGAATATCCTTAATATTAACTATATCAACTATACTATCTATTAAGTTATGATTTTCTTTATTCAAAACC